CTAAATTTCTGAATCATTCCCCTCCAAAAGTCCACATTCTTAGCCCGGTAAAAGGTTCCATAAACTCTTGTGAATCGAAACACACACTGAAAGTCAACACAGCTGCAAATAGCATCAATAAAGATTTTCAAAGACTCCATTACTTCTACTTTCAACGAATCATCCCACCAGAGACTCAAATCACCAGCTATTCCTACCGGAGCGACATTGAAACCATTAAAGTAACAACCCATACGCCGCCTAACCCCTTATATTTTATGATCTCTCACTTTAGTTTCCGAAAGAAAGATCATAAAGGGCTTATGTTTCTTGATTAGCCCATGTAGGACCCGAACTACCATGTCCAACCCAAGACGTTCCAAAAAAGATCTATCATAGTAACCGTGTGGATATTGAAAGCCAGCAGCCACCACCTTAAGATGAGGTTACCGCTTTCTTTGCCAACATGGCTTATTTCTCACCCGCAGAGATATCCTCCATGTATCCCTACATATCATGATACTCTACCAAAACTTCCTGCAGTTCCTCATTCACGTAGATCGCTTTCTCCATCATCAGGCATGTCTCCCTTATGCTCATTTTCCTTAGTTTTTCTGCAACCTTCTCCTTTCTCTCATTTATTATTCTACTTTCTTCCTCTATTTTACTTTTTTCTGTAGGGAGTGCACCATCTCTTTGCTCTTAATTTCCAGCTCCCTCTTGGTACTTCTGCCACTCACCTCCTTATGAATAGCACGACCACTCTCTCTAAAAATCATCTCCATACTTGTCTCTGCCCCTTGTTTTATCTATGGAATCTGGGTTTAAGTCTATGGCACAATAACTACTCCCTCAGTTTGAGTATAAATTTCTTCATGAATTTCCTCAATCATGACCGTAGGATTTCTTCCTTGCTCACTGTGCATCTCTATGGTCTCAAAGCCTATGACAAAACGATGGTTCAACAGAGGCCTACATCCTTCCACTGGGTCAGGTTGAAATTTTGTCCTTCGCTCATTCTCTATAGTCTATGCCACTCTTTTTTCCTTTTCCTTTATCCTAATGCAGTATTGCTGGGTTAGGTCCACTATGTTATGTACTCCTTCCATGGTAACGTCCCCAATAATTTCCTTCGTATGTTGCTGACTGGGAAGCCCGGATCATACTCTTGTTGCACCAGCATACCTTCGTTCCCTCGAAGTAATAGCTATAGGTCTTGGAGATTCTATAATATCTCAAATTGGTGCTGCTTTTGTCCATTCTCCATACCTTGCCATACCACCCTTCATAGGTTCAAAGGAACATTCAGTGTTAGAGTGTCCAATTCTACCACATCAATAACAAAAGTCTTTTAATCTTTCGTACCGAAACTCAATCCAAGTATCATTATTATTGTCTCTTGGGAGCCAACACCTTGTGGTCAGAGGGTTCGAGGTGTTTACAGCTACCTTTACTCTCAAGAATCCTCGAACTTTCGCTTGGTCTTCAAATTCGTCAACTCCCCAATTTTTGTTGCTAGACGCTTCACATTTTCTTCCGAGTTGAGATTTGGTGGTACACCTCTAATTTGTACCCAAAAGGAGACAACTTCCATTCAGTGCTAGCTCTTATGGTCATCTTTTAACAGAAAATTTTTGTTTCATGACTGCCCACGGCACTTGGTTTAGAATTTTAGCAGCAATACTTTCATCTTGGAAAGTGATGATAAAGGTATTGTCTCTGACCCACTTGAGTTCTACTTCCCTCATCTCTTTCCATGAGGATCTAAGGATATTTCTAACCCCCTATTTGTTGAGGGTTTTGTTAACCAATGTTGTGCCCCCTAATTTGACCCATTGCTCCATTATGGATAGATCCATATTCCTCTCAAGGTGGACCACCAATTCCTCCAGATGTGTACGAATGGTAAACTGTTAAGGCTCTACCCATATTTTCACTCAATTTTTTGTTTTCTCTCCTTCACACCTCACAACTTTTTAACTTCAGTTGTAGGTACACAAGGACCACAAACATAATAACCGAGGGTTGTATACTTCTATTAATTCCTAATCTGAAACGTACCTTGCCATTCATGCCCGACTTAAAGGTAGCTGAGTAGTTAGCCCTACATTTGACGAAGTGAGTAGTTGGAGGTATTCTTGTGTCTTTCCCTTGCCAGAGTTTGGTTGGAGTAATTTATGCATATTCCATTTGCCCTGGTTTCCTGATCTGCCAGCCTTAGTAGGGTTTCCTTTGCATTTATCTTTGATGGGTGGGGTTCTAATCCTTCTCCTACCTACCATCCCCGCTAATGGGACCATTCAAGCCCAAGATCCGAGCTGGAGGGGGGAATGACTTGACAGAGATAAGGGATTTGGTAAAAATGTGCACACAAAGGGATCAAAGGAATATGGATTTAGAGACAAGTGAGAAGGAAAAGGGATATTAAATTATGGGGGAAAATGAGTGGTTGAACTTGAAAGAAGTTAATAGCAGAATAGGGACTTAGAGACAAGTGAGATGGAAAGGATGTCTAGAATTATGGGAAAAAAAGAAATGGTTGGAAGAACTTAAAAGCGCAACAATAAAAGTTCAGAAAGTTGTTTATAACTAAGGCATCTCTCTAACGCTCGCAGAGGAAGAGAATTGCTCTCACAATGGAGAGGCTCTCACGGAGGAGAGAACATTTTCAGGGGAGGAGAGAAATTGTTGCTTCTTTATTTGACCTTGGGAGGAAAGTCGATTGTGGGCTGTCCATCTCCCTCTTTCTCTTCTTGTCATAACCTACATTATCCAATAAAATTGATATTTTTAAGTGATCTGGCTACAATAGTAGATATCACTCAGTGGTACAATTTTTATAGAAAATGAAAGATCCAAACATTGCAAAGATCCATTAAATCTTTATATGCAAGTCCTAGTCATTAATTTTCTAGACCACTCATAGGTATGTACCACAAAGTCAAAATTGCTAATTAAGCTAGATTTATTGTCATAACCTACATCATTTAAACCATGATATTGACAAAATGCGAAAATACTCCTGAAAGATAAGTGGTATAGTAATTTTCCATTTTAAATTAGACCTAAAGCAAAAAAGAAATAGGTGATTTATTGGTTGGATAATCCCTATAACACAGAGCGGAGCCATTAGAAATAAATGCTTGGTCAAGGGTTGAGAATAGGGGTGGGCGTGGGTTGGTTTCGGTGGGTTTTGGGCCAAAGTTGAAACCGAACCGACCTAGTCGGTTAGGCCAAAATTGCAAACCAAAACCAACTAAGCTGGGTCTAAAACTAATTAGGTCGGTTAACTGACAATGGGGGGTTGGTTTGCATCGGTTCTCAGTTTGTTTGAAGATGAAAATACATAACAAGTTCTCTCTCAAAAACTACAGAATGTAGCAGCAGTATGAGTGATTGTTCAAAGGAAAGCATAAATGAAGCAGCCCAAGGAGAGTATCAAAGCAGTAGATGCTGCCTTCTCCAAATAGTCTTTGATGTTCTCCTCAAAATGGACTTTTAAACTAAACAGGTTCTATTTTCATGTGTGGAAACACGGTAACTCGTAAATAACTAACCATTTATATTATTACATGTATTAATTATAATTAAAAAATTAAATTAAATATATTCTGGTTGGTTTGGTTAACCGCACCATAAGAATTTAGGGAACCGATTGGCAAACTGATTAAGGTTAGTGAGGTTCGGTTTAACCACCAAAAATTTAAAAACTCTAATTAAAAAATAAAAAAAAATAAAAAAAGCCAAACCAAACCAAGCTACTGGTGCGGTTCATGCGGTTCAATCAGTTTTTTGAATGCCCAACCCTAGTTGAGAATGGGAATTAAACTCTATGAGATTCAATCTCATGTTCCTTAATAGCTCAGTTGTTGAGTGGTCGTTAACTACTAGTTGCGAAGTGCATACTTTTTGAAATGTGAATAACAATTTCTTTATTTTTATTGGAATAAAATTATAGGCTAGCCATTAGAGCAAGTCCACCCCATCCATTTAGGCTGGCCCAAAGTCCCCCAAAACAACCTAGCCCTTCAAAAACCCACTCCACGCCACCAAATAGGCTGGCCCAAAGTCCACCCCAGCTTCTAGGCAGGCCCATAATGGACTGAGTGAGGAACTAGCCCATCTGAGGTCATGCATAACGTCAGCCACGGGCAAAGTTTTTTTTTTTTTTTTGCCGCTGGCGCGTGGGCGCGTGTTCCTGACAACTCGCAAAGGAGGGGCCCGCACTGTAGGCGCACTAATTGGGACATCAAACTTAGGCCACGTCGCGCAGTGATATCGTTGGATTTCCAACGGCTAGTTTTCTAGACCGTTAGATTTCCAACGGTAAAAAAAATTGAATTTGAAATTTAATGGATAGTGACGTAGCAAAGTTTGGACCACTCAATTTCCAAATCAAAGGTCCAGGTTTTTCGGCCAAAAAACATTTATAAAAAACAAAAAAAGAAAATGTCAGAAATCTTACCGTTGGCCTAGTAATAAAAAAATATGTAATTTATGTAATTTCGTATTTATTTTTAATACTTTATGTATTTTCTTATATATTTTTAGTACTTTACATATTTTCTTATTTATTTTTAGTACTTTATGTAATTTTTTATTTATTTTTAATATTTTATGTAATTTCTTATTTATTTTAGTTTATGTAATTTCGTATTTATTTTTAGTACTGTATGTAATTTCTTATTTATTAAATTGGGTACCTTACTTAAATCGGTAAAATTCTACTTAAAAATTTATCCACAAAAATTGTACTTTCGAAAATGATACGTGGCGTAATAAGATTTGTTAAAAATCTGATCTGAAATTAAAAATAAAATTATTTTTTATTATTTTATAAAAAAATTATTATTATTTTAATACGAATTGACTAGACTCTTGCACAGCCCAGCTCATTTTTTAGTAGTGGAGATGCACTTGACCAATTACTATTCATTTGGGTGGATTAAATGGATTCATTTTTTAAGGGTGAAGTTGCTCCCAAGGTCTTAGAAGTTGTTTTGATACCAACATAACGCTTCTTCACAGGCACAGTACCAAGTTGACATTACCACCACAATTTTCTAACAAAACAACCCACATCCAAATTTGCCTTACATGCCAAGATGCCAAGTTTTATAGCCCTCAATCAGATGCACCTACAACGCTTATGACAACGAAGAATTTGCTTTTCTGTAAATCAAAGATCCATACATTAACATTGACTACCTTATAAATCCCCGCCATAACCGACAAACCGTGCATCTAACTTTCCGGTAACAACATAGGGCCATGAGATCAAGAAAACCGTGCAACAGTACATGCAACAGTAAGGTTTTATAAATGTAAAGCAAGAAGCAAATGTCGCTTATCTGCTACTGTACAATTTAACAAGCAGCTCACCTCCAGCAGCTGGCCAATCCTTTCAGGCATAATACTCTGTATAGAGAAATGAAAAATATTCCTAATGCTGATCGCTTTGAAACCGCATTTTCACATGCTCAGCTGCTTGAGAGAGATACCTTTGCACCACATTCTTCGCTTGATAAAAAATTTGAGATAAAAATCTTGTATGATTCTGGTTCAGCTATGCATGAAGTATTTGCGAATCCTGCAAACAAGTAGCAAACCAACATCAACCGCACAATACATGATCATGATTCCAAACGTATGGGACCTTTGATTGATCAACTTAATCATCGACCCATGCATGAATGATATGGGGAGAATACTAATGAATTCCAGAAATAACAAAGGCTAGTCAACAATTAAAAGTCTGAAACAGTGTTGAACCCAAGCAGAACCGAAATAAAGAGGAGGAGAAAGGGAGGAGGAAGCTCAGTTCTAAGAATTCTTACATAGAAGCCAAAAGTTCTTAGTGTAGTCTAATTTAGTATCAAGGAACTTCGTGGAATTGACAGTTGTGGCTTGCAATATCAAAGACATTATAACAATCTATAAAACTCCATCCCCATACAGTTTCTTTTTCTTTTGGGTATATCACGTGAGTCCTTTTTCTTAGCAACTGGGGTCCTACGTTCTACTTAAAACCAATGCTATTTTCAGTCTCTGATCTTTCTTTATACCCATTATCTTGAATCTACTATTCCTTTTATCTTTCTCTTTATTACTTTTGGCATGACCTTATATCTTATTACATACCATCCCACCTTTTCCTCTTGTCCTCTTCAATTCCTGCCGTCCCCTCACTTTGAATTATTATCTTCACTCCTAATTTGCATCCCACACCCACACCCACGTTCATCCACCCCTTGATACATTTTATCTCTCGCCTTTCAGCAAATCGTACATCAGTCAAAAGCTACCTCTATCAGAATAGTAGAATGCAATTCACAATTTTTTGAGGCCAAGGTATCTTTCCCCATTCAATAAAAAACATCGATATTCAATAAGAGAGCACATCAATAATGAATTTTTACCTAAATAGAAAGTATATGATTAAGAAGAAAACCACAAAATATGCCACAAGTACACACATTCTCCGGCTTGATTTTTTCTCAAATACCTACAAAGCAAATAACTTGATCTCTCAGCCAATTGCCCATAAGTGATAACACAAAAAAGAAAAAAAGGGAGAAGTGAGGTTTAGGTACCATTTTAAATCTATCCATTGTTCCAGACAATATACCCCTTGACACATCCATGCTATTGCCCTGGTTTTACAGGATAATCAAACAAGTTCAAACATATAAACAATATCTAGAGAAAAAGAAATATCTAACAAGGAGAGTACGCTTAATAAGTAGAAGCATACCATTCGGTCAAGCAAGCGATTATGACTCTCCACCTCTTCATGAATATCACCTGTTAACTGTAAATAAAACATTTTTATTTTATAAGATTAAAGACCGATACTATTGCATTAATATTTTTATTTTGAAGTTGTAAAATTTATTTTTATTTTGCTGACTCCATACTATTGCATTAATATACAATCAACTACAACTTGAACTTCACTTTCAGTAAGAAGAACAACTTCAACTTCAATCTAAGCATGCATGAAAATATAATGACTGACATCAATGACAATCGATGCCATTTTGAATGTATAAATAGGTGCAGGAGTCAGCAAGCGTGTGATCCGGTGCATGTAGACTCATGCATGGTGAACAGGCAAGCTGTGTCTGTTCGTAATGAAATCAAACAAATTGCACTTGTTCTGGGGATTTTCAAGGCAATTTGGCACTCACACTGGATTAAACCAGTACAATTATTCAATGATAATATTACATGCATCATAATATAATTTATGCAAAGATATTAACAATTGAGCGTACTAAAACCCGCCGCAATTCAAAAACATTATGGTAGCTAACAACAGTGTAGACAAACAAAACTGACAACTTGGCACAGTTGGTGACGATTGATCAGAGTTCACCAAGAGAACCTGACAGAAAAGGCATTTGAATACAGGCCAGATTTCCATGAACCCTTTCATGCTTATGCATCAGGCATGCTGTTCTTATAAATTTAGTTATTAGCATTCACATGAAAGTCTGTAATTCTGAATGTTCTACTACAACTCTTAAATTGATACCTACTACAACTCTTAAATTGATACCCTATAAATTTTTTAAAGTCCTAAGCAGTCAACACATTATGGCAACAGAATATATTACCCACTGTCTAAAACAGCATGGCTCATATCAACTTATACAATGTTACATAAAGATATTTTCATGTCTAATAGAATAAAAAACATGTTAAGATATTTATGAAACAAAGGTTCAACTCAACAAATTCAGCCAGTAAAGATATCTTATATTGCACTCACTCTCTTCAGAAAAACAACTCTATCTTGTAAACTTTTCACGGCTTTGTCATTGTCATGCTCATTAAAGTCATGGGAGTATGAGGAGGAGGAGGCCCTAAGACCACCTTCCTCAAGGCCATCTAAAAGAGACGCTTTGGAGGAACGGTGCTCCCTACAAAAAAAAAAAAAAAGCAAACATAGTCAAGTATTATACAAATGTACCTAGGAAACCACCAAAAAACTGCAATACCGGCTCAAAACTGCAACATATAAGGGGTTGACACCAGTACCTTGAACTATACTAAAAAATGTGACAGTGCGAATGAACTTAAAAATCGTCCTAGCAACAGTTTGTGGCACGGTTTCTAACTAAAACAAAACTTTTCTAACTAAAACGAAACTAACACGTTAAATAAAGTTAATAAACGCATAATAGTACTACGAAAAAACGAAGAAACATGAAGTTTGTAGTATTTCTGTACTGCGAAAGCTTAAAGCAAAGTACCAAAGAACTGGAGAAAGACAGTTAATCATATATTCGGACCCAACAAGCACAAATCTAAGGGATCGGAATCTCGAACGATGATCACAGCTTATAACTTCAAGGCTTCACCAGTTTTACACAAATTGCAAATCAACACCTTGTCTCCGTTTTCACAGATTTCCTTCCGACTAATCCGGACTATTAACAATAGTTCTATCCTCAACTTGTAAACTAATCAAACGGACACTAAATCCAACCTGCATTTTAAATTTACCAGGATTAACGCTTCAGGTAATCGCAAGTTGAGCTCGTACTTAGTGCTAATTACAAGATCTAACCAATAAATTTCGAAATTAATAATCCAATTAGCAACACAACATTGCGTGCAGAGAAAAGATAAAATTCTGAAGGTGCGAAAATTCGAGATCTTGATATATAAAATTCGTGCTTATCAGAGAATACGAACCTTCTGTAATTCATTGGCTGCAGCGTTCGCAGATTCGACGTCCTTTTTGCACCAGTAGGATTTCGATTCGTAAGGACAAAATTGAATGGAAATATCTGGCGATGGTGTTGGAGAGTGTAGTAGTGAAGTTTGAAATGGTTGATCTTCGTCCGTTTGGTAGCTGAGAAAATGTGGGAAAGGAAAGGAAAATGAAGAGGAAATTTGAGGAATTGATTTCAACGGAACGGAAAGGCAGTTATTGGAGTTCCACGTGGTGCCAGAGGTTGGGCTTGCCGCCAACAGGCTTCTTGGGTTCTTTAGGCCCAACTAGATTTTTTTACTCGAAAAAAGGATCATGGGCCTACCCAGTTTCTTTTCTATATGGTCCTAATAAAACTATTCGAACATTGGGGGGGTGTTTCTTTAGGCCCAACTAGACTTTTTTACTCGAAAAAAGGATTTTCAAGATCTAAGAGATTGAGACGAAAAATGTTAGATAGACGGGATTAGAAATTTCTTCATAAGCACTTCGAAGGTATGTGAAGGGGATATTTAAATGATTAAATCCCTATTCGCAAGGTGTCATTTGAAATCTCTCATGTGCCTTTATTAGGTTCATGGATATGGATAACCGTGAAGATCCATTTTTAACCTAATCAGGCTGATATGGTAATAGTACTCTCTGCCCTGAAATCTCCTCGTTTACTCGTGTAACATTTTAATGTTAGAATATAAGTATGATTGTGAGTGCTGGAAACCGGCTATAGTGTTTCAATTGGTATGGAAAGGTCTTGTTGTAGAGTTTAAAGTTGTCCTAATCAATTTGGGATTGAAACTTTAATAAATCATGATACTTAACACTCATAGTTGGATTGGAATTGTGTGTTTGTTTCCTATGCTGATTTTAATAGGAAAATCACAATGATTGTTTCAATATAAAATATTAGCCTCTACTCTCACAAAAAATACGCTCAATATTAAACTAAGACCTATTGTTAATTTGAGTACTTTTGGTTTTGCAAGAAAGGAGAAGGTGTATTGTTTAGAAGTTTGCTTTGGCTTCTTCTTCTACTGCTTCCATGGATTAGTTTGTTATAGTGTTAATTGAATTGTGATTTTAATACTTATATAAATTGTGGTTCATGTGCTTAATCTCTTAATATGTTTTTGATAAGTTTAGTCTTACATATAGTATCAGAGCTTAAGATTTTTGTTCTTCAATTCAAATTGAAAGTATTAAATTGAAGCAGTAATCGACGTGATGGTTTAGCGGGGAAATAGACTTTGGTTTTGCAAAAGAAATTTTTAAAGTTTTAAAGAAATAATAGAGAGGATGTCTTTATGTAAAAGGTTAGGTAGTGTTGTTTTCAAAATTATTTGACCATTGCAATTTTGAAAAGGGGGAAAATTGTGTTCTGTCTAAGCCTTCTTTCTGCAAAAGATAAAAGGGTTGTTGAGGTTTGTGAATATATGAACACATACATGCACTTGTGAAATTTATTTTGATTTATATTAAATTTAGATTTTAATTAAACTAATTATGAAATTTCAATTTTTGTTAGTAATCGTTAAAAATCCGTAGACCACAGAGCTCAATCCTATGAGCGTGTAGGTGAAAATTGTTCACGAATCGGAGTTGAAACGAAGAAATTAAAGACGTTTTAGTTGTTAAAAAAATAAAATAAATAAAAAAAGGACTAGAAGTTGCCAGATGGCAGCGGGAGAGAGGGGGAAAAGGAGAGATGCAGGAGAGAAAATGAGGAAGACGGTGATTAATCAGAGGAGAAGAAATGAGGGAAATGAGAAAAGAAAGAGAGCCAGTTGACTTGGCCCCCCACTCGACCCAGTTGTAACCCGTTTCTGGTGACGAATTCCGACAATTTTCCGTCAATTTTTCCAACGAAGTACACCCATACACCACCTGAAAAACATCACGGCATCCTTCCCTCTTCCATTTACACCAACAACATGAGCCATTTTGGCCCTATTTCGTGAAGATCAAATGTCACCAGTTTCTCTCTACGTCCAACATAAGCATTGTGCTTAGACATCCAATCAATTCCCAGAATGATATCGAACTCCACAAGTTTGAAGGGAATCAAATTGGCCTCAAAAAGTTCACTTTCTACAATAATTGGGCAATCCTTAAACTCCCACTATGCACAGAATAAATCTCTAGGAGGCAATTGTATAAACATATCATATCCAAGTGATGAAGGTTGCTAGTTCACCACTTGCGCAAATTATGGGGACATGAATGAATAAGTAGCACCCAGATCAATCAGAACATTAGCCCAATGACCAAAAACAAGTAATGTACCAGTGATAACTCTGGGATCCTGCTCTACCTCCCGCTGAGTCATGGCATTGATACGTCTATGGGCCTGACGTCCCGAACTATTGTTACAGCTACCACGAATCCTAGCACCCTGGCTATTGCGGCCTGCTCGGCTCCTCTAAGCACAACTACTAAAAGCTGCTCCAGAATACTGCGGTTGTCGCTGAGCAGAAAACTGAGTACTCGGATTGCTACTCCCACCATAACTCTGAGTACTCGAATTATTACTCCCACCGTAACCCTAACCAGAAGCAAAATCATTAGATGAACATGGAGTACCGCAATTATGGGCAATATGTCAAGAGCCACCACACCTGAAACAAATGACTAGACCAGCAATGCAATCTCCCTGATGGCGCTTACTGATCGGATGATATTTATATATATTTTTACTTCGAATTCACTCGTCTTTTCTTAGTTAGTTCCTTATATTTTTGAGCTATTTACGTTATTTTTGTGTTTATAGGATTTGTTATGCAAAGAAAATAAAAATAGAACAAGTGAAATTTTATGTAATAAATTCGTCAAGAGCAATTTAAATTACAATATTGCTAACCCATTGTGACGCTAATTGATAAACCAATATTTAAACTATATATTTTATCCTTTTATATTTCTTTTCTTGTCTAATTTAATAGGAAGCTTTAAGTATTTATGATACTTTTGATTTATTGTGTTTGTAGGAGAAGAATAGGGGAGTAAAGTAGAGAGAGGCCGGCGCATGAGGGGAGGCTGCCCTTTGGCAGCTGAGAAGAAAAGAAATGAAAAAAAATATAAAGAAAGCTAAAGGAAAGAAGGATCCAAGGTGGAAAACGTGGGATTAAGCAGAAATAAAGGGACAGCTACGGAACAAGGAGAATCCAAGGCATGTTAGAAAATGAGCTGTAGAGAGGATTGGTCAGCACGGGTAATGAAAGCAGGTGAAAGAGAGAGTAAAAAGAATAAAATAATGAGGAGTGGGCTGCCTTTGGCAGCTGTGAGGATAGCTGGAGAAAACGTGCGTGAGGATGATGATGCTCTGGCATCTGTAGGAAAGACATGCGCATAATAAAAGAAACAGAAAGCACTGCACAGGGGGGGGTCTTGGAGCGGTAGGGGGGAGCTGCCTTTGGGCAGCTCGCAGAGAGCGCAGGAGGCAGAGAGGAGACGGGAGTGAGAAACAAGGAGGATAGAGGACAGGACGCAGAGAGGGGGGGAATTGGTGGAAGGCAGAGGGCTGCCCTTTGGGCAGCGTGAAGCTGCGGAGAGGAAAGAGGAGCAGACAGCTGCCTTGCTGCAGCAGAAAACCGAGGAGGACTCGGACTGGGTGAGACGAGAGGAGAAGTCAGAGCAGCGTGGGAGCCAGGAGCTGACGTGGAGGTCAGGAAGAAGGCAGAACGAAGGAGGTCAGCGCACAGGAAGCAGAAACACTCTCGCTCTCGGTTAAATCTTTCCAAACTTCTATTTTATTTCTGTTTTAATAATGTGTAATTAAATTTTATTTTGGCTAGAGGTTAATTCAAAACCATGAATATATTTGTAATATGAATTGATTACCTTCGGTTGTGATTTCATAAGTTGTGATTTCAATTTACTTATCCGTTCGTATAAAAACTGATTTGTGTATGTTGGTTGAGAGTGCACGCTTAATTTACATGCATGAATTTGATGCTAGAAATATAAGTGAATTTCACCTAATCGTTATGAACTTATTTTCACAAGTAGTAAAGGTTGCTAGTCACAATCACGTTAAGTAAATTCTTGGCAAGAGTATCATGCTTTTCATAGTTACGAATGCCTCGTCAATGCTTATAGTTTTCACAAAGTTTAATGATCTTTGATTGTATCTCTATTGTGCTTTTCACGTAGGGGACTTTTGAAGAATGTTTTGAATTGTTGTATGCGTTTTCCCGTCCAATTCAATAACTTAAGGAAAACTTGAAGATTAAAAAAGTGCTGTTCACGGTTAATCTGGAGTATTGAAATTCACAACTTATTGAAAGAACAACTGAAAATTAATTTAGGTTGCATATGTGTCATGTGTGGAGAAGAACCCTCTAGCTAGTCTGTCATTTATCATTTTACCTTAATTTTATGTTTTTTGTCAATTCTGTAATTTAATTAAGTTTAATTTACTTTTCATCAAAACCAAACACCCATCCATTATTAAATTATATTATTTAGTTAGTTTTCTTTATTGTTAGTCTTTTAATTCAATTTCCGTCCATTTCAGTTCTTAGTGTTTAATCAGATCATTTTCATTATTTTGAGTCATCCTAAGTGTGTTTCGAGTTATTAGAGTTTTTAGCCTAGTTTTGTATCATTGAGTCTTGTTTAATATTTTTAAATTAATTTAGAATAGATTAGCAATCCCTCCTAATCCCCGGCCTAGAACGATACCCTACTTACATCTATACTACAATTGTCAAAAAGAGGGTTTAATTTGTGTGTCAAGTAATTCTCACATCAAATTTTGGCGCCGTTGCCGGGGATTAGCAACTTTGCTAATCCCTTTATTTTTGTTTTTGTTTATGTTTATATTGGTGTTTGTGTATTTTACTTTTGATATTTTATTTATTTTTCTTTCTTTGATTTTAGGTACAAATGGAGCGAGACATGGCACTTGCGACCATTCAAGCTCAATTGCCACAGCTCACTGCTCAATTGACTCATAATGCCGAACGGACCACAATGTCAAGTGTCCCTACACTTGATGTGCCCTATGGGCAAGGATATCAAAGTCCTCAATTTTCTGTCAATGAAGATGTTTGGGGATATCAAGGCTATAACCAATCAAGGGGCAACATGTTTTCCAACGCTTATAATTCAGATTGGAGAGGTAATTCAGATTATAGGTGGGATGAACCTCAACAATTTCAACAAGGTGGATATTGGTAGCAAGACGAGTTTTATTCAAGACC